GCACTCCCAAGGCGATGACAAGATCTGAGGGATGCGCCCTCAGAAACTGAGGGCATCCTTGAGATCGGCACCGAGGCAGGGTGCTGCCAAACATGGGATAGGGACATGCTTCTAGCTGGCCCCATGTCAGCCTCCAGCCGACCACCTGCTGTCCCGGGGCCCCCCGAGTGCATTGGCCGTCTCGCGGCGCGGACGCCCCACCTCCGGCGATTTTCACCCTGAGCCGCTCTCTGACGGCCCAGGGGCAAGGTGAGGGCCCTCCGGGGGGCGGACAAATGAGAAAAACGTTCCGCCGTTCCTCTTTCGCGGCGCGAGGGGCGCTCTGCGTCCTCCTCCGCTGTTCTTCCGGGTCCCTCCTCCCCCTCCTCCTCCTCCTCCTCCTCCTCCTCCTCCTCCTCCTCCTCCTCCTCCTCCTCCTCGTCCGTCTGGGTTGTCCTCCTCCTCCTCCACCTCCTCCCCCCTCTTCTTTCTAGTCCTCGGGGTCTTCATCCTCTGAAGCTGCTGCTGCTCCTCCTCCTCCTCCTCCTCCTCCTCCTCCTCCTCCACCTCCTCCTCCTCCTCCTCTGGGTCCTCCTCCGCCGTATCCTCTTGTCACTCCGCCCACTCGTGGCCACAACTGGAATACGCACCACACCTCCTGTTCGGGGCACGAGGCTCTCGGAAAGGTCGGGGCACGACGCTCTCGGAAAGGTCTGAGGGAGGAAGAGCTCGTCGTAACAAAAATCACGACGGACTGGTTTCCCATTTGTTGCCATGTTCGGCCTCCAGGGGCCCTTCCGCAGGACCACGAAAAACAACTCGGGATAACTTTGGAGAACAGTTATCGTGTTGGGAGGAAGGCGCTGGGAGGATGAAGGGCATGAGCAATAACATTCGGATGTAATGCGCGATACCTTCGTCCGTCTACGGGTAGTGACGTCCTCATTCCTCCCAACCTCATCCTCCCAACTGTATGAACGACTTCCTGCAAACCAACAAAGCCAGTCCCGGGGAGAGGGTCGAGACCTCCAGAGGTCCGCGTCTCACAACAAGACAAACGAGCGCCGGGGGGGGCCAGGAGCCGATCCAGAAGGCCACGGGGAGCATCTTCCCACGATCTCAGCCTCCTGGCCCCGAGTGGTGAAGAAAAAGGCTGGACGAGAAATGCGCGGGGGGACGGGGTCGAGAGCTCCACGGCCCACGTCGTGCAGAAGCCGCCGAGCCTGTCGGCGTGTGTGAGGGGCTTACCCGTCCGAGTCGTCGTCTCCGTGATTCGTTAGTCGTCGTCTCTGTCGTCCCCTTTCCCTGTGCACCCCCATTTCCCTGGGCCCGTCGCCGCTCCCCCTCCTTTCCCTGAGTCATCCTCCTGAAGCGCTGGGCCCGACTCCCCTCCGCCCCCTCTCCTCGGCCCTCCTCCTCGGAGGGGGAGAAGCAGCAGCAGCAGCAGCAGCAGCAGCAGCAGCAGCAGCAGCAGCAGCAGCGGAGGAATGAGCTGGACGAGGAGACGGAGGAGGAAGCAAAAGTAGCGAGGAAGACGAGGCGGTCGGACATGACCAGGGAATCGTCAAAATGCATGACGAATTTGGACAATCTCCCCGAGATCTCCCAGATGGTGAACAAACCTACCAATCATTCAGGGCGTCTGGTGGCCTGGGGTTGTGTCACTGATCTCCACTCTCCAGACTTTCCCGTCGTCCTCCCCCTGGTCCCCAGACCAGCCCCTGCTGGACCCCACAGGATTTGATTCCTCTAAAGCTCATGGCGTTGGTGCGACTGTCAAGCAGGCAACATCTCAAAATGTAAGGTTGGCAGAACCATGTCTGCTTCCATATATAGAATCCGCCACAGAGGTTTGAATCGAATGGGGCGGCTTTGGAGCCCTCGTCGAGCATCCGCAGAACGGCCACATGGCGCCGCAGAGAAAAGCCCATTAAGTCCAAAGGGGGCCCAACCAGCGCCTGGGCCAGTCCAGTTTCTACTGTGGTGGGGGGCATGTGTGTCAGTTTCCTGATGTGAGATACTCAAGATAGGGAACGCATATACACATCGATGCATCTGTATTTATGTCTATGATATGCATAATGCATCGGTTGTGTTCTTGTGTGCGTGCATGCTCCCCACAAAGTGCTAGCACTCAAGGGTTCTCACCTGCTTCCCTAAGAGAGTGCCTGGGTCCGTCGGGGCCGCCTCGTTGCCGCCCACTTGGGGGGGTTTCCGTCGAGGCTTCGCGGCGTCGACGCCCGGGGCCACCTCGCTGCCGCCTTGCTGCCGCCCACTTCGGGGGGTCCGTCGAGGCTTCGCCACGTCGTCGCCCGTTGCCGCCCACTGTGGGGGTCCATGGAGATGTTGCCGCGTCACCGCCCGTTGCCGCCTCGTTGCCGCCAGCCGCGCTTGGGGTACCCATCGAGGTTGCACCACATGGCTCGCACCACATAGCTTGTATCACACAACGTACACCATAGATGTCAGCACATAGCTTACACATCCACCGTGCGATAACTTGCTGGTTGGGATCCGCCCTGGCTAGCATATGGATGCACATGTATGTATGTGTATGTACAGATCTGTACGTGTGGGTATGTCTATGCACCTGGATATACATGTGTACAGCCGCTCTGCTCCTCTTCCTCTCGGCTCACGCACCCCACAGCACAGCACACAGTGCAGCTCAATTCGCCGATGATCCACGATGCAACCCTTTGGGTTCCTGAGTGGTTCGCAGTGTGTGCAGCGGGTGGGGGAAGGTGAGGTACAACGATCGGTATACGTTTCCCCGGTTGCCTGATCAGCAATGCGTCTGCTCAATGGCTTTCTCGTGTCGCCAGTTACTTGCTGATCGACCAGTTCACACCAACACCGAGCCTCAAATACGTAACACCCCGCAATCGCGGATGCGAGTGAGGGGGCGACGACGACGTCGGCAGTCTGCGAGGTTCTGAAGAGGCCCGCCGCAGGCGCCCGATTTTTACAAAGTATACAATGAGCTCGCCGCAGACGCCGATTTTTTCATTCAAACAATGTGGGTTGGTCGCGAGCTGGGTCGCCGGTGGGTCGCGGGTGGGTCTCTGGTGGGTCGCCGGTGGATCGCGGGCTTGGTCGCGGGTGGGTCGCAGGTGGGTCGTGGGTGGGTCGCGGGTGGGTCGTGGGTGGGTCGCGAGCGGGTCGCGGGGTGGGTTGCGGTTGGGTCGCGGGCGGGTCGCGGGTGGGTCGCGGGTCGCGGGTCGCGGGTGGGTCGAGGGTCGCAAACAACAAGCAACAACACACAACAGGCAACAAACAACACACAACAACCAACAATCAACAAACAGCAACACCAAACACAACAACAGCCACAACAACAACACCACAAGCACCAACAACACCAACACCGACAAGAACATCAATAACAACCATGCCGACACCATCAACAACAAACGCAGCAACAGCAGCACCAACACAAACACCGACGACCCCACCACCAACAACACCAACTCCACCACCATCACAAACAACAACAACAACAACAACAACAACAACAACAACAACAACAACAACATCAACAACAACATCAACAACATCAACAGCTACAATCCGCATCGCAGAACATCACTTGGGCCACGTGCCCCAGGGACAGTGAGTAACCGTTCGGCCCCCTCATTGTGCTTTAGCGAGGCGTGTCTAAGAGTCGAGTTGTATCACCTACAAGCTGTTCTCCTAGACGGAGACAAGCACATCAGAATGGTGCTAGCTCGCGCGCGTGCCGTTCACATCACGAGCCAAGGGAAAACAGGTCGTGATGAATATCCGCAACCCCAGTCGAGAGGGGTGAAGGCCAAACCTGTGTACGAGGATCCAACCTGATGCCAGAAGTACACAGGCTTCGGCCGCGAGGGAGGGGAGAGGGGAGAGGAGGAGAAGGAGGAGGAGAAGGAGGAGGAGGACGAGGAGGAGGAGGAGGGGGAGGAGGAGGAAGAGAAGCGAGGCGAGACGAGCGCTCGTCTCACGCTGCGGTTTGGTCCAGAGGGGGTGGCGGATTCGGGGGGGGGGGAAGACCACCTTCTTGCGGGCAGCTCCCGCAGGTCGCCTCACGCTTTCACGCACTGCGCTCCCTCTGTTCGGACTGCTGTTTGTCAGCTTGGAGGCCAAAGTCCGAGCAACGCACCAGGAGGAGAAGGAGGAGGAGGAAGAGGATGAGGAAGAGGAGGAGCAGGTGGTGTAGGAGATGAGGATGAGAGTAGGGGGATGACCATATTCTTGTCAGCAGCTTCCGCAGGTCGCCTCACGCATTCTTTCACTGTGCTCGCTCTTGTTCGGAGTGCTGTATTCTTCAGCTTTGATGCCGAAGTCCGAGCATCGTACCATGAGGAAGAGGTGGAGGATAATCGGATTCGGTGGTGGAGGACAGCACCTGCAATATAACCGCTCTCTCTTGGGGCCGCAAGGGGATGTCGGTACATGGGTCCCACTCTGTTGCCACGCTTGGCGCCTGCAAGCGCCGGACTGCCCTCGACGAGGGTCCTGACTCAAGGAAGAGGTCATATCGGAAGGGGTGGGACTTGCTCGCCCGTGCGCCGTTTCTGATCATGTTTCTTTACGTCTTCCTCGTCTACAATCCATGAGCGTTATCGAGTCCACCTGTGTACTGGTCCCACCAGGCAGCTGAGAACGCGTCTTTTTATCTAGAGTGCCCAATCGATTGTTTGTCCAGCCTAAAAGCTCGATGTCATCAACTTCACGGCATCGGCCAGACTACTGCTGCACACTCCGGATGCGGTGAGCTTTTGAGGTTCGGTGGTGGTGGAGAGCACTTGTAATACAACCACCCTCATTGAGGGCCACAATGCGACATCGGTACATAGGTCCCACTGCAGGCGAGGTCACCGAGGGTCCTTACTCTGGTCATGAGGTCATACAGAGGATGGGTGGTGGGGTAGGTCATAGCTGTGGGAGCGACACAAGACCTTCTTCGAGGGCACCTTCCCCTGCATCCTTGCGTTACCTGGCCATGCAGCATACTCTGAGTGTTCTGCTCCTCTTTTTTCATTGCCACAGGTTTGGCCCTCAATTTGCTTACTGCTGCTAGGTCAGGCCTGCCTCTTTGTCCTGCCGTTCTTTTCGCATGCCCGAGAAACGCAGTACGCTTGGATCATAATGTTCGCCTGACGAATATGAAGCGAGGTGAGGGGGACTGGTGATGGCGCAGTCTATCCCCACATGGTCCAACCGACCATCAATATAATTAGACATCACACCACAACAGTCGTAAGAACAGCAACCAGTGCAAAAACATGAATTTGAACCCCAGACGGCCATGCGGCTGATCCAACTACAAGACCGTCCCAATATAGTGGAACAGGCAAAGCAAAGAAATGCATCCCAATAGCAACTACATAAGATCTGGCGAATGAGAATTTGAGCGAGAGCTGCCGTGAGACTGCCATGAGCCATCCCGACGGCTGCGGGAGCGCAGAGCGTGGCACGACGCGTGGGAATCCGCTGCCGCGCCCGCCTCCTCAGCGGCAGCGCGCCTGCTTCCTGGGCCTGTCCGCCCCGTCGGCCTCCGCGGCCGCGCGCGCCTGCTGCGCGATGGCGGCCAGCAACTCCTGCATGAGTGCCGGGTGGTTCACCGTGACCGCGTCCTGCGCCACCGTCTGCAGCGCGGCCCCGTCCTCCAACAGCGCCCTGACCAGGGCCTCGCGCAGGCGGGGCAGCCCGCGCTGCTCGCACAGCCGCACGCGGGCGGCGACGTTGGCGACGTCGGTGTCCGCGGCGAGCCTCGCGGCGCAGAGCTCCGCGAGGGGCGCCAGGCCCAGCTCGAACGCGAGCTGCAGGACCTCCTCCAGCACCTGTCCGCTGGACGGCGAGAAGGCTGCGGCGTCCGCGACCTCGCCGTAGAGGTAGAGCAGCAGGATGTCTGCCGCCTCGCGGCTCATGGCCTGCAGGTCCAGCTCGGACCGGTCGCCGAGGTCGTCCGAGTGGGCCGCGAGCACCACCCGGTGCACTGGGAGGCGCTCCTTGACCGACCGTCCCAGCATTCCTATAGTCCTACCACGAAATGTTCTTAGAACCCCAACATGTCTGAGAACAAAAACAATGTTCTCAGAACATAAGACCGATGTGATAAACCAGGACAGTCCCAACCAGAAAGGTTTTAAGAACATTCCGTGGGAACCCCAAAAGGTTCCTGGAGCATTGCTTGGTGGGGCTATAGGCACGCCGGGACGCTTCGCCACTGCTTGCGCTCCCCGGCCACGAGCAGGGCGGCGTCGCAGAGCCTGCCCTCGCGCTGCAGCCGCAGCAGGCCGCCGCGCAGCGGGGCGGGGCGCGGGGCGTCCGCGGCCTCGTAGCGCACGCGCAGCGGCTCGGGCGCGGCGGGCTTCGCGGGGGAGGAGGGCGTCGCCTTCGGTCGGGCATGTCCTCCCACAGGCAGATTGTTGAAGAGAAACCGACAGTAGTTCAGAGAGCACGAGTAGGAACCAGAGCACGAAAAATCGTCCACGGGCTATGCTCCACATAGGCTTGCCCTATCGGAGTCCTAGCTCATCATTAGCAATTGGTCTTTAGGACCCCCACCCCTCCTTTTCCAATGGCCCCCCCCCCTTATCTCCAATGGCCCCACCCCCTCCCCCCCTTTTTCCAATGGCACCCCCCCTTATTTCCAATGGCACCCCTTGCTTGCCCTTGCTTGCTTGCACTTGATCGCTTGCCCTTGCTTGCCCTTGCTTGCTCTTTTTTGCTCTTGCTTGCCCTTGCTTGCTTGCACTTGATCGCTGGCTCTTGCTTGCTTGTTATTGCTCGCTTGCGCTTGATTGCTTCCGCTTGCTTGCTTGCGCTTGCTTGATTTTGCGCCTCCCGTCCTCCTCCCGTGCTGCTCCCCTCCTCCTTTCGACCCCCTCCCATCCTTGCCTCGTCCTCCTCCTGCCCTCCGATCTATTTGGAGTCAACGCTGGCTGATATTTTTCCTATTCTTGAATATTCCTCCTCTAAAGAGGAAATGCCCGACTTACGAATCGCCGGCGCCTCCGCCGGCGCGCCCCCCGCCGCTGACGTCGGCGGCGCGCTCTTAGTCGCGGACACGTGCATGACGCGGGCGGCGAGCTCCGCCGCCGACTCGGCAGCGGGCTCCTCCACGGCGGACTCCTCGGGCTCCTCCTCTGGGCAGCGAGCGAGACGCCGAGACGGGGGATGTGAGAAGAAGGAGGCCTCCTCAGCAGGCGGCGGGTCTTCTGAGAATCCTTCCCCGGCCTTTTCAGAAAGGTTTTCTGTGCCTTCGGGGAGAGCTGAGTAAAAAACTTCTCAACAGGCCGGGGAGACTTCCGAGCTCCGGGAAGTCTCGCCTCTTCTCACTGCCCCCTGGGCTCGCCGCCAATAACAACAACTCAGGTCTCGGAGTCTAGGCCTCCCAGATGGGGTCGGAGTAGATGGGTTCGAAGGATCGCGCCACATCACCGATGCATCGCCCATGCGGCTCGATGTGGAGCCCGACTTGCTCCACGCCGACGTCGCCGATGCACCGCCGACGCCGACGATGCCTCGCCATTGTACCGCCGATGCGTCGGCGATGCGGCGCAATCCTCCGACCCCCACAGGCTCGCCGCCGGTCCTCCTCGTCCTCGACCTCCTCGGGTTCCGGCTCCGGACACTTCGCGGCGGCCGGTCGCTTCAGGACCGCGGCCTTCGGCGGCATGGCCCAGCCCCGCGTGCGCCCCGCGCTCGCGGGCGGCTGTTGGGGGGGGAGGGGGCGAGGCTCCGCGCGCCGCGGCGGGGGCGCTGCCAGCCAGAGCCATCGATCGAGCGAGCAAGCCAGGAGCGGCGGCGAGCGAGGGGGGGAGGCGAGAAGGAGGAGGCCTTCCCAGGAGGCGGCGGGGCTGCTCAGGAGGTCCTCTGCCTTCCGAGAGGTTTTTATGCTGCGTCCCCGGGGAAAGCTTACAGGAAACTTGTCAGAAGGCCGGGGGACTTCCGAGACTCTTGGGAAGGCCCGCTCCTCTTCACTCCCCCCCCGCGTTCGCCGCCGATCATAATGCGGTCAACCCGCAGCGGCACGGCACAGAACAGGCAACGGGACACCGCTGGAGGGCGCCCCGCCGCCCCCGGGCCGTCCCCGAGGGATGGGGCGAGCCTGTCTGCCGTACAGCTCCCTAGCTATGGGGCAGGGTCTCCCGAAGGCACTCGCGCGGCGTCACCTCGCCCGTACGCGCGACATGAACCTCGTCACCGAACTCGATGGCCCAGTTTTTTTGGGGGGGTTCTCTGCTTTCTTCTGTCTCTCATACCCCCAACACCACCACCACTCACTCACCTCGCCACACAGGAAGACATGAGGGAGAGCAAGGGGAAGGGGGGGGGGAAGAAAAGAGAGGCGGACGACGACCGCGAGGGCGACGAAAAGGAGGGGGAAGAGTTCGAGGGCGAATAGGAGGAGGAGGAGGAGGAGGAGGAGGAGGAGGAGGAAGAGAATTCTACACGTCACGGTTTCCACCCCTCTTCTCTCTTCCTTTGCTTTTGCCGCTGTCTCCCTCGCCCTACTCATTCCAAATTTGTTCGGCGACGGCAGCCGTTGACCTCTCGAGTCAGGATGGCGTAACTGACCATTTGTTCTTCCAAAGAGAGCACGAGAGAATTCCGGCACAGGAAAACAATTGCGCCTACATTGTTATCCACATTGTCATCCGCTTTTGTCTCCCTTTCTTGCCCCGGAAGCTGACCACAAGGAGCTCTCCGTTAGAACCGCTTTGTGTGGAGACGGAGTCTAATCGTTTGGTGAATTGCAGGTTCTTGTTTGACTAATACATCAATTGTGTGACATGTGTACGCGTACGTGTTTGGGATGGACGCGAACAGTTTTCATGTACATGCTCTATTCCCTACTTGTGACGTGCGCGTGGTCTTGCAGACACTTCCGACACGGACCGAGAAGGAACTCATCCATGCTGCTGCGCGTGTGTGTGTGGAACAACGACAACAGGGGATCTTTGGACATTGTGCAGGGGAATCGCGACGGTCGCTCAGATATGGTGTTGTGACGGTTGCCCGGATGACTCCAGGAGGACTGCGATCTGCCACATGCGGTGTACAATTGCCAGGTGGCTCCAGCACGGAAGAGAGTCGCGAACCACGTGGCATCTATGGTTTTTCGTTGGTTTCGCAGAGGGCTTACACCACCTCTGTAAACACAGCGATCGAAAACGTTGGGTCCGAGTGGCCCTGCGAGGGGCCAGACCACAACTCCAGACGTGCATTTTATTCAAACGATTCGACAGCGTGGCACGCATACATTCACGGAGTGTTCATTATGTGTTGGACCCCGGAAATCACCATGAACTCCAGGCATATGTTACGTTGCGTTTTCATGCGATTCGAATGTGTGGTACTATGGCATGTGTAAGGCTGTGCGCGCACGGAACAAGCATGCTTGGTTTGGGGGGACTGCACGGTTCAAGGAACACGCGCAATCTACATCTATGCACAGGGGGGGACAGACACATCGGCCACGGCACCGAGCTTGGAGGGACACGAATCCTGCATCATTTGTGCTTGTGCCGGTATGCTTTGGGACGCATTGCCACATTGCCAAGTTTGAGTCATTGTGTATTCGGGTGTTGCGACCTCCAGCCCAGCAGGGCGACGGTCCAGCACGTCGAGAGCCGAGGCCATTCCCACGCCCTTTCCCACGCCTCCAGGACAGACCATCCAGGACGCGAGAATTGGAGCTCAACATTTTGTTGCAGATGCGGGAGAAATCAGGAATGCGATCACATTTCCATGATCAGGCGTGCACGTTCGGAATGTTGTTGGCGTGGTGTGCCAATGTACTAACCCCTCGCGCGCGTGGAAGTGGTCAGACAGATGTACCACAGGGGACGAGAGATGTTGCTTGCGTTATTTCTTGGGGAACACGGCACACGCCTCGACTACAAGAAACAGTGGAGACACGGTTTTTTGTGCAGCTACTATTTACATGTATGGTCCTTGGCAAAACTACTCCCTGGTAATGCACGGTCCCGGGCGCGTCAGAAAATCGAAAGGTTTCTTTATTCCGGGAATCTCCTGCCCAGGTCTACCTTCCGATTCAAAATCCATACTACACACAAGTGCGTACTACATGGTGCACGGGCGATTGTGCAGCGGTACATGGGACACGTGTGTCGACACTACCCTGGTCCATACATGCGCGAGTACATCACTGAAAAATGCCGCGTGGTGGCAGCACGACCTGCGAAAGTGTCTGACAGTATTACGCAACAGCACGACGTGGCACGCACATTTAGCATGGATACATACAGGTACATATGTGAACACTCAGAGTATCAGAGCCAGCTGTCATACACTGTATTTTGGTGCCCACAATATTGGGACACACCCAGCAGCGTCGACACTACACTGCTGGCAAGGGATCTTGCGGACCAACTCCGGCGACACTTCTGGACCTACCAATTCCCAGGGGCATGCCCACGGTTGGCGCGATGTTTAGGGCTACGGATACACAGGGGATGTACGGAACAACAGATTGGGGCGTTATGTTTCCCGGGAGTTTCTAAATTTATGGGGGACCCTTCTCCACTCGAGGAACTACAAGAGCACTTGCGACGAGAACTCCATGATTACTGTTGGGTCCCTGTGGATAAAGATCCACACCGGCGGATTGCCCTGCCATGGTTCTGCTACATGTGGCGGCTTGGACGGACATGTGTGGAAGACTCGGACCACTACGTCGTGCTGGCCCGCCAGAGCCCCAAAAATATTGCCCGGCAGCACACCAAACTTGTGCAACGATGGATCCCATCGAAATGGAGGGTGCACCAACCAACCACGGTGCAACATCTGCCGCGCGCCTATCTCACAATCAAGGGGAATTGCTACGACCACGCCACAGGACAGCTCACGTGCGAACGAACCCACGCACACGAGCGAGAGATTATCTCCAACGCCCGCGCCGTCCAACGACCCTTCCTACGGAAGGCTGCCCATGGCCTCCGGCTGGTCAAAAAGTTGGGAGGGGACAACATGTGGACCTTATGGCACAGCAACGACCTTCCCGACATTATCAGACAGAAGACCAACAAATTACGAGTCCGGCCACAATTTCTACGACAGTGCGTTTGTGGCCAGACCAAGCCAGTCATATCCTGGGCCAAGGCGGACGCCTCACAATTTTTCAAGGATGCGTCGGTGGCTCGTGGAGTTGCCCGGGCAGATGCACTCCTCAGGCGCGTTACCACTCGGACGGGTGCGGATGCGATTGCGATGCGGCATGGTAGCAAAGCGGATGGATATTTGTGCCGATCCAGCGACAAGCCCAAGCAGTCCCACATTATTCTCAGTTTTGATGATCTTCGAAGGGCAATCCGATTTGCAGCTCGAGACAGATGGCACGTGGTCGGATCAACTGTCTTCGAAAGGATCCGAGGCTGGCCGATGGGGGGATCCCTGTCGGAGCCAGCCACACTGTGCGATTTGGGGGAGGATATACACAACATATACAACAACAATGAGGCCGCTCAGGCTTTGGGGGTTGCCTTCCCGGGGGTTCCTACCGATGCGGTGTTGCAGGGACTACTGAACGTTGATGACAGCTTGGTGTGGTCAAAAATCCTCTGTGCAGACTGCCTTACACAAAAGGTTACACAGCTTTGGCCGAAGGACGTGGGGGTCACCAGTGAGGGGAAAAACCGGCCAATGGTTTATCTACAGACAATCATCGTTGCCAAGGGTGACGACTACGAAATCCGGCCTTTCGCGGTCAACGCAGATTTTGCCAGGGGATTGTCTGACCAACCCAAGTACGCGAAGTTCCCGTACTACAGCACGGCACCACATCACCTATCCTACAATTTCCTCCGCTCCCTCCTCCTCGAGCGCATTGTGGTTTTCAACAAACTTGCAGGGGGGTCTGCCGAGAGGGGAAAAGAAGCTACAGTGGACGTGGTCTCAGAGCTGGTACGTCTGGAGTGGCCTTCCCTATGGATATCTCGTGTGCTGCGTAACAGACCACGACGACACTCATCGGAATATGTGGGGGTATTACGGGGAAATGAGCAATTATTACAGGGTATACATACACATATCGCTAACATACTGCCTGCCATACGACAGTCACCGACACTGTGGTCTTGGATGGAATCATTATTCAATACTGTGCATACTATGGTTCTCAGCCGAGTCAGCTGCCGTGTCCCACGCATCTCCGCCTAGACGCGCCCCTCTTGCACGCCACAGGCCAGGGCGGATGTCTTGGAAGCAATGGCGAGGCTGTGGCGGCGGCGGAGGTGGCAGAGGACACGGTGGCGGACGGTCCGGCCCTCCCCCGCCACGCAACGAAGGCCGCCCATTCTTCGGGGGCGGAGGCTGGGACGCCCAGCGTGCGCTGAACGAACACTTCCTGCGGAAGGAACAGGAGCGTCAAGCTCGCGAGAGCGAGGCTAAGCTTGAGGAGAAGATGGAGAGAGCCGCCGACAGCGCAGTCAAGAAGGTCTTCTCAGGGAAGCAGGGCAAGCGGCGCGAGGAGAAGAGCAATGCCTTCTCCTTCCTGAGCTTCGCGAGACGCCAGCGGAGGAGAAACGAGAGCGACCCATCGTCCCAAGGCAGCGCCGAGTCAGCCGGGTCGTCGTCGCAGGGCGGCGGCCGGCTCACCCTGAAGACGGTGGGGAAGCTCCTCGAGAGGAAGCGGCGCCGGGACAAGGCGAACCGCAACGAGGAAGCGAAAGCGAGACGCCTCTTGGAGGAGCTCCAGAGCAAGGAGCTCGACGACCTGCCGGCCAGCCGCGGGAGCAGC